CCCCCGATTTGTGGCCGGACCCCCCTGGATTTTGGGACCAAACCCCCTTGTTTTGGTAAAAATCCCCTTCATTTGTCCCCATTTTGGGACAGACCCCCTCACTTTGGTACCGAACCCACTAATTTTGGTTTAAAAAAAACACACCTGATTTTTGGTTACAAACCCCCTAATTTTGGTATCAAACCCCTGGATTTGGGGACCAAACCTCCTCATTTTGGTAAAAATCCCCTTCATTTGGATCCCCAAGGTCTTAATTGTGGGAGAAACCTCCTCACTTTGGTACCAAACCCACTAATTTTGGTTAAAAAAAAAAAAACCTGATTTTTGGTACAAACCCTTTGATTTTGGTACCAAATCCCTTGATTTTTGTGCCAAACCCCCTTGATTTTGCTACCAGACCCTCTGATTTTGATACCAAACTGTTTCATTTTGGTATCAAACCCCTTGGTTTTGGTACAAACCCCTTGATTCTGATACCAAACCCATTGATTTTGGTCCCAACACGCCCTGATTTTGGTCCCAAACCCCTTGATTTTGGTCCCAACCCCCTTGATTTTGATACCAACCCCCTTGATTTTGGTACAAACCCCTTGATTTTGGTATCATATCATTTGATTTTGATATCATATTGCCTGATTTTGGTGCCAAACCCCCTGATTTTGGTGCCAAACCCCTTGATTCTGATTCCAAACCTATTCATTTTGGTATGAACCCTCTTGACTTTGGTACCAAATCCCTTGATTTTGGTCCCAACACACCCTGATTTTGGTCCCAAACCCCTTACTTATGGTCCCAAACCCCTTGATTTTGGTACCAAACCCCTTGATTCTGATACCAAACCCCTTGATTTTGGTACAAACCCCTTGATTTTGTTCCCAAACCCCCTTGATTTTGGTCCCGAACCCCTTGATTTTGGTCCTGAACCCCTTGATTTTGACACCAATCCCCTTTTTTCCCCCCACAGATTTCACCTGGAGGGGGGGTGCTCCCGGCTGGGATGGGGGGACACCCCACCCCCCCACCCCACCCCCCCACGTACCCCCTTTGACCAGCTCGGCCAAGAGGCTGCTCCATTCAGCGCGGAAGGTGTCTGCCCCGGTGAGGCTGCCCTCGCCCCCGATGACGCAGAG